CCCAGTTCCCTGTGTAGTGGGAACATAAAGGGAATGGGAAGCCCAGGGCTTCTCAACCTTCGCCTAACTGTGGAGGGCCTTACCTTGGCTAGGGGCTGTGACATGTTCCACACCACTATGATGGGGTGGAAGGAGAAGCTTGGTGAAGATATGCCACCTTCATGTGCAGTGCTGGCTCAGTGGCTTCTCCTGTATCAGAGGAATTGTGTAGGGATAGCATGTAGTCTTAGGACAGTAGCTAAATGTATACCCAGTCTCTATGTCTGCGGGGTCTTTGTAGAAAAGACTAAAAATCATGACTAAAATGTTCTGTTTAAATTGTGTCTTTGCTGACCATGCAAATGCTTTTACTTGTCTTTATTTCCTGAACACCACCACACACCAGCTATTCATGCAGGTGACTTCAGGTACTCAATTGTGGGGAGGATGGTTGTGGATATGTGTAAATGCTACATGGTTTTCTGTCACTCAAGCTTTTATGGGTTTGGGAGTCTGGGGTGGGGGGGAGTCCCAGCTTCAATATTCCATGGACATGTGAGGAGCCTCTGAAGCTAGTTCATTCATGAGCAGGATGCAAAAAAGAAAGGCTCTGTGATGTGGTCATTGTCAAGGGGGTCCTTTTTATGAAGGTGTTTTCCACAAGTGAGCTTTCCCAGGCTGGAGTAAGAGAAGACCAGGCCTGTAGTGTTTATTTCATACAAAGAAAAGAGCTAGAGAGAAGACCAGGCAATGGTGACGTACAGCTTTAATCCCAGCAATTGGGAGGCAGAGGCAGGTAGATCTCTGTGAGTTTGAGACCAACCTGGTTTACAAGAGTTAGTTCCAGGACTGGATCAAAAAAAAGGAAGGAAGGAAGGGAAGTAAGGGAAGGAAGGAAGGAAAAGAAGAAAGAAAGGAAAGGAAGAAGGAAAGGAAAGAAGGAAAGGAAAGAAGGAAAGAAGAAAATGAAGAAGGAAAGGAAGGAAAGGAAAGAAGGAAAGGAAGAAGGAAAGGAAAGAAGGAAAGGAAGGAATGGAAAGAAGGAAAGGAAGGAATGGAAAAAAGGAAAGGAAGGAAAGGAAAGAAGGAAAGGAAGGAAAGGAAAGAAGGAAAGGAAAGAAAGGAAGAAGGAAAGAAAGGAAGGAAGGAAGGAAAGAAAGAAAGAAAGGAAGGAAGGAAGGGAAGGAAGGAGGGAAGGAAACGAAAGGAAAGGAAGGAAACGAAAGGAAAGGAAGGAAACGAAAGGAAGGGAAGGAAAGGAAGGAAGGGAAGGAAGAAAGGAAAGGAAAGAAAGGAAGAAAGGAAAGAAAGGAAGGAAAGGAAAGAAAAGAAAGGAAGGAAATAAAGAAAGAAAGGAAAGAAAGAAAGCCAGCTGGGGAGAAGTCCCCAAGCTGGCAGTAAGCTGAAGTTTTCAGTGTGTGTGTCAGGGGCACAAGACAAATACCTTGGAGGCTACTGTGATGGTCCTGAGAGGGGTGGGTATTGGTATAAGCATGACTTGAGAGTAGCTCTACCTCACATGGATTCTGGAACACTGTGAGAAAAGTACTGGGACTCTGCTGACTGCCCCGATCATGGCCTGCTGTGGGGCCATGGCAGGAACAGTCCAGGCCGATAGTGGCAGGTCTCCACATGCAGTGAGAATGAATGAAGATTTGGGAAATCTGAGGTACAGGATAGCACCTGAGAGAGATCAAAGTTATAAGACAACTCATCCCAGGAGTTGGTTCCAGCCTGGAAAGTGTTAGACCCCCGAAAACTCAAGTATCCGGGGTCCTAGGCCACGTTCTCGGTCACCCCAATCACCAGGCGGATTCGAGACCTTGCTGCAAACTGCACGAGGCTTTATTGTAATTTAACGAGCTAACCTC